CTCAAAATAACGTTTATTTAACATTTAATAACTTCTCCAAAACATTACACACTTTAAACATTAGTTCTATCGAATTATTACTTATATATCATATTAAAAACTTTATCTACATACATTTACTATCTTCTATGATTTTTACACTAGCTGATTACGAGAGAGAGCTTATACTTACAGTACAGTTGGATTGTTAGAAGTATTAGCCACGTTTGTCATCTTCATTTTCACCTCTTTAGCCCGGAGAACTTCTGGATACTCAGAGTACTTCTTCTCAGTCCTAGAGCATTTTTCTTCAGTCCCGGAGAACTTTTTCAGTCCCGGAGAACTTTTTCAGTCCTGGAGCACTTTTTCAGTTCCGAAAATCTTCTTGACTTTTCAGCCTCTGACATGGGTTTTTAAACTGTCTTTTCTCTGTATTATTTCGACCCACTAAATAGGACACAGCATCACCCTCAAGTAGTCCCGTGCTCCTATTGGATACTTTAGGGGAATTCCTGGGCTAAACCAGAACCAAAACTTTCAAGTAATTGGTTACAGATAAGTGGTGTTAGCCAGCTGCCTATTTACTTGTACTGCTACACCCATGTGCTGTAACTAATACCACCTCAAATTGCCGATAATTCACCAAACCAAATTTTTCTGTAGCTTTCTTAGTTCTATAAGGTTGAGGTCAGTAATTCTTCAACTTGTCATAAGTACTGGTGTATTCATATTGTTTCTAGGCAGCATTTCTTACTAACTATGCTGCTGACCCTGGTCACTGGTTTCCAGGCTCGCTTCACAAGCTTATTTTGTAATACACGTGTCTTGTTACTTGTTTCTAAGCAACACGCCCTACATAACTAGGCTCCTGTCCTTGTTTATTAATTCTCAAGGCTCATTTCACAGATTTATTCAGTAACACTGGCGTCCTCTTGTCGCCTCTTTTTTATATATCCTTGACTACTCACTTATACTAAAACCTTTAAGTTTTCTTCTATGTATTTTCAACTGCTAAAACTCTGAAACCTCTGAAGCAAATTGTAAAATTCCCTCAAAAATGTTCAAGTTGCTTCATCCCTCCCTCCTCAGAAAATTTTGTTACTCATAATAAAATTTATCATCCATCTCTCTTCATCAGCCAATGTTTACATTATCGAAACATATTCAGATATATTTATACGATTACATATATTGGATTATATATAGAACACATAAAACTTTATCTTATTAAGCATAACTGGCAATCTAAACTACTACATATAACAAGGTATACAGTAAAATACAAGTTTATATTTACTTTAAAAATCGTTTCGAAAGTACTGGAATATGTCCCAATTACTGGTGGCTATCCATCCGTATAAAGCACACACTTTCCAATAAGCACAATGTTCATGCGAGTCCAGACATCTGTAGGGTGGGCATCCGTACTCTTCTACATCTCGGCATGGAATACCTAGTTGCCTCTGCAACAGCTGTGCCTTTTCTCTGCCCTTGGTATATATCTTCACATAGTCCTGCCTGGTCCTCTGGCAAATCCTTAAGAAGTCCAACATGGAATAGTCTCCATCAGTCCAACGGAGGCACACAGTACACCACAAGATGTGTCTTTTATCTGTATCACTCAAGCGATCCTCGGGATATGGAGGCCTGAAGCAATAGACGTCAGTCCATCCTGAACAGCAGTCTTTAATCGCCAACTCCTTTATCGTGTATTGCCCGGTTAATCCTAAACCTTCCACCTCTACAATGGCAGCTCTTCATCCTTGTTTCCTATTATTATTAACAGAAGATTGTTATTACTTGTCCCAGTGAAGGCTTATTCAGTCACTTCACTCGTTCTTTTGTTCATCTTAGTGACACACTTGTCCTTCTGATACGTCTGGCTATTCCTTCACGCTTTTTATTCCAATCACTTCAATCATTCTATTCAAACACTTCAATTCACTAACACACTATCAATACTTGTCATTCGTTGATAGAAGTTTCCGTCCTTCCATGTAGCTCATTTCTGGGTTCATTGTACTGTCTAACTGTTTGTTTTCGTTTCTTGGTGTTGTGATCACTGGTCATAAACTTCGTTTGTCTCTTACTTCTGGTCACTGTCTATCACTTTTTATCTTTTCTCGAACTTTTCTTATTTCCTGTCCTTGTCTATTATTTTTGTCTTTTCTCGAACTTTCTATGCCTAATAATTTTGCCTATAATTTTGACTAA